AAATAAATAAATAAATAAATAAATAAATAAATAAATAAATAACGCTTGTTATGAACGCAGTCAAAGATGGTGCATTATGTCTGCGTGATTGCCGCCTTGCACAGCAATGACGTACGTAAGACATGGTGGGAATTAATATGAGTTTTTTACGAGGAAACCTCAAAGTATGCACGAAGACAGTACAGCAGCAGTAAAGACCATCGCGCAGCTGAGGTCGATGCGACGGCGTACTGTCTTAGTGCATACTTTGAGGTATCCTCGTAATAACCTTATTATTATACATCTTTTCCTTACAATGATACATCATGGTATATATAATAATGATATATATTATTAAGACGGTTTTATATATACTATTTGACGCGTTTCCAGACTCGCGATGTACACGTTATTCTATCCTCCGTTGTATATTCATAATACATAATAACTTTCAACCATAGGGAAAAGTGGTTTGACTGAAAACGAACTAGAAGATCTGCTTTCGCTCGACGATGATGTATTGAACGATGTATATCAATACTGGACGCCACCAATCCGCCGCCTCCCTCCACTGTTATGGGTACGAATCCGAGCTGAGCTATCCGATTATCTTGTGGATCGCGGCGCTGACGGTGTTCGTGTAGTCTACTGGTACCATAGGCAGTTTATAGAAGCCGCTAATGATAGGTATATGTCTGATACTAACACAACAATGAATCTACACAGCAATATGGCTGATTACTTTCTTGGACGATGGTCGAAAGGTGAGTGATTGTTTAAACACGACTGGTATGTGTGATATGTTTGATGCTGGTAATTACTATAATAAGTTTAAATTGTTTGGACATATAGAGCAGACCTGCACAAGTATGTAAAAAATAAGGCCAATATTCTCAAATACTTCCAATAGACCTTTCCACTGGTAGCGCTCTCTGGCAGAAACACAATTCTGTGACCCCTCCATATATGCCAGTGTATCGTAGAATTTCGCCTCTAAAAGACTTAGGTATCTTTTCATCGCAGGTGTGAAAAAACCGTACACAAACAGAAAAGGCGAACACTGTGAAAGCGATCGACTGGTAGCGGCACAGCCGTTGTTATTTGATGCGGGGACTTACAATTTGCGCAAACTTAGTGAGATGCCATATCACCTACTTAAATGTGAGCGATGGGATACACTCAAGGAAACCGTTCTCTGTAATCTAGAATGGTTGTACACAAAAACAAAGGCGACCTCCTTGAAGTAAGTATGAACTACCAATTCTTACACACCGCAAACTAATGTATAACATGTTGTTAAACAGCGAAACATCTTCAGCCAAAGCACCCAGTCGTTGAGTCCGTCGTGTCCGATATGGGTTCCATGCAACCTTCAATCTTTTATTTGCTTTCGAAGGAACGTTTTAGAGGATTTCCGAACGACAAGGCTGAAATACGCCAATGACAAACAGATCAATACAATAGCCGAAGTGATACAGTTGTCCCAAGAAGCTCTTCTACATGACCCTGCCCAGCTAGCGTCGCAACTAGTAGCAAGACTTCCAAATGTAAGACATGCTTTTATATTTCACGTGCTTTCTTGTTTCACAGTCGGGTTAATATTTATTTCCTTTATATGGTAATATATGTTTATCTTAATTTGTTGAATGATTGTCTTTTCACTGTGGGAAAATCACAGACGCAAGGTTTGGAAGACATTCTAGATCAAGCGAAACGTTCACCAGCATTGTGCTTTATGCCGTCCCATCCATTCATGACGCCACCAGGGGGTCAGCTTCTTCACACTTTGTCTGGCCACAGAGAAACGATCAGCGCATTCGACGTGTCATCAGATGGTTGCCTAGCATTAACAGGTATGTTGATTTATATATACTTAAGATATCAATACTTTATGTGATATAGGTTATAACTGATACAGGGTCATTAAAACTGAAAAATTTACGGTAATTACATGTTGTATTGCACAGCTAATGTTAGCACTAAGGTAAATTCACTTTCATGCATTGTCCGCTCGCATGGTTTCGTATCTGCTCTTTCTTCTCCGCACAAACCCGTGTGTTCATAAACGTACATGTTGGACGTATTGTCTGATTGGGCGCTCTAGCAAAGTTGTCGACTAATCAGATGCGTCGTTATAAATATTGAAATGTTTATCCTGATGGCGATTCTTGGGGAGATGTCGATGATTATAAACAATCACATTCTCGGGATTTATTTCATTTATTCCGAGGGGTCTCAAGTTCAAGCTCATACTTTAACCATCCTCATGAGTGCAGCTCGAGGAACTTTTGAAAAGAAGATGTGATGTCTAATTATTTCTGTCATAACTGTTTTGTCGTATTCGATCTATACATACCAGGGTAACGCCGATGATGACACCAGGATAACACCGGTAATACGGTCATTGGTGTCTGTAGCTGCAGTTCTGTTAGTCCCCTTGTTTTCGTGGTCACCATGAGAACCACAAAATTTCAGCTATGTTGCCCGGGGTTGTGTCGTGGAACTGTATACGTGCCTTTGTTGACGGTGTGATATGTTCATATACTGGCATGTGCTTACAGCGTCGTGATCTATAGTCTGGCACAAACATATAATTTATGAAATTGTATTAATTCGTAATAAACATGGAAAAGAAAAGTCGATACTGATTGACTAATTGCCAGGCACTGGTTGCGTCATTTTATACAGTATCCAAGACTGTCATTACAGCAAGGTCACTTATTTATAATAATTTAAAACAAAGAATCGCCAACAGTCGTATGCCCAAAACCCTTCCATCGGAAATCAAAATAAATTATAATATTGATAATCATTTACATGCAATCGAAACATAATTTATGTGTTTGCTATGATAGATAGAAGGAGCAATTTGATTGGCTGAACATTTCTTTATTTTAATTATGGTGGCGCAACCAACATACGTCACAGCCCAAGTTAATAAGTGGAGACATTAAGCTGGAACGTTGTCCAATTTCAAGATGATTCCGCGAATCGTCAAAATATGCCGCGTAGACTACAACTGCGCCCTCGCAATAAAGATATCGGTCACTAGATTTCCAATATACATTCTGACTCAAAATTGAGTTTCAATCGCCATAGAATAATTGCGTCCTGATTAATCAACGTGACGGTCTTAAATATGAGGTATACCAGTGTTACATATGAGGTGCTCAAATCTGGATAGCTGTCATCTGTAATGCCGAGCTGCGTACATTTTTTGTGTGCATGTGAACTCATTTATAAAAGTTCATTTTGCTATGAATTATGTCTGAAACTCTTAATGATTTGCATTATTTGTGATGGGGCGAAATGACACTATAATATTGTAATAGTTTTATGCCATATCCTCTTTTGAGTTTGTGATATGTCGAGAACAAGAGAGCATATTACTGTTAATTTTGGTAGTAAGACTACATCGCTGATGAAGAGTAACTGAATGCGGGTGTAATATATGTTTATTTGTTCATTGATACAGTAGCATGATAATAATATATATTGTAATATTTTTCCAACATTTTACCTATTCAGGCGATGATTTCACAAATGTGAAACTATGGGATGTGGAAAGCGGCTACCTCATCAAGAGTGTCATGGAATACACCAAAAACGATGGCGGAAGTATAAAGTGCGTACGGTTTTGTGACAGTGACAGAGTTTTTGCCGTCTCACTTAATAATATCGTTAAAATATTCCGCACGGACACTCTCGCTGAAGTACGGATAATTGAACCATACGACGACGACGAGACTTCGGGAGTGCCGTTTGCGATGGCTGGGAGCTGTAAAGATAAACTAGTGATTCCATGCCACCGAAAAGTAGTGGTTTATGACATCACGACAGGGTCGCGCATTTGTAGGATAATAGATGCAAAATTGTTAAGGGAATATTTCGAAGAAACTCATATCGAGGCACGTGGAAATACCATAGCATACTACAATGAACACGTGGAGAAACACTCCAATCTCTTGAGAATTGTTGATCTCTCTCAAGACACCCCTACCCCGGACACTATTAATGTTTACCCCGATGTAAAGACATACGAAGATGGATATGAGGAGATCACGTCAATCGGTGCACTGGCCCTCACATGTGACGACGAAGTTATCGTTTCGAATATGATGGACAATGATTTAAAAATATATAATACCAAATCCTTGGAATTGTTGCGAATTCTAAAAGGAACCAAGAGTGATTTTAGTCAACACTTTTACATAACACAGGATGATCGATATTTGCTATTTCCCAATTCCTCTTCGGATGTATGTATTTGGGACCTTCAGACAGAAACGAAGGAATATAGACTAAAACATCCAAACTCGGTGGAGCGTGTTGCTAGTTTGGATTACAAGCGAGTGGTCACTGTCGGGGGAGATAATTTAGTCCGAGTATGGGACGCAACACGTTCCGATTCTGTCCAATATATAGTTAAGCGTGATTGGAAATTTTACAGAGGTCAACACGAAGAACACAAATCATATACTGTCAGCAAAGCTCAGTCTTCTGCGAAGACACAGAATGACAAAGATGATGACAACACGGATAGCTTTACTGATTTGTGGAGTATTCCCGGTCAGAAGAGATATGTTCTGGCGCAATCGCAACGCAATAAGCAATACAGCATTACCATCTGGGATTGCGCCACTACCAAACCAGTTCTGCGAATACAATCGCGTGCAGGAGAAGGAAAAGGCGGTGGATCTAAATTTCATCTCACCATACTCAATAATAACGAGGCACTCTGCTTTGTCAACCGCAAACTAAAACTCCTCAATTATACAAATGGGAAAATCGTCCGAGTATTCAAAGGACAGCTTGCCTATAGTGGTTCGATATGCATCGTCAATAATCACCGCGAAGTCTTAACCACAACGTCGCACGGAAGAAATTTAAAATTATACGACATCCAAACTGGCAGTGTTGTAACAATATTAAAACAGAGTGACGAGAAGACAAAAGATTCCAAATCGGTCATTGACGTAAAAGTGAAATCTGACGGGAAAGGAACTGTCGCTGTCTCTGTGTTGGACGAGGATGAACAGAAATGTTACGTGTGGGATATACCAAAGCGTTCTTTGAAGCACATTATGAAATTACCAGATACGTATTCCAATGAAAAAGGTCAGGTGTTTGACTATAACATCGACTTGACAGACAGTGACATTTCCGCAGATGAAACTTATATTTGCACCATTCAGTCTTTACACTGCGAGAAATCTCGGATTGTAGCGTGGAATCTTAAAACAGGTATGATATCATTTCATTTGTCGTGCCTTCATTTTCATATGTTGGCTGTCATACCAGGTGGATGGTTATACCATACTTTATAACTGGATTATATGCAGCTACTGAGCAAGGAAGACAACTTCGGGAAAAAAATGAATATTGATACTTGATCGATTTTCTTTCATCTAATTTGACAATAGACAAGATAATAATATACATATACTAATAGCTCAACAATTTAATAATAATTAATAAATTTGAACAAATAAACATATAATTAGTTAATTTTGATCAGTCTCGGCAGCTTTTCGAGTATCACGTACTTATTTACAAACGGGTCCCGATAAAATCAAAATGAAGACCATTGTTTATGTTTTTATGTTTCATTCGTTCATGGGACCACTACGGTCCGAAGTACCCACGCTCGGTATTCTTTTGGCTAACTTGAGGCGGTACGAGACAATGCCTTAATATGTTTCGCGCTCAAAATAATATATATATATATATATATATATATATATATATATATATATATATATATATATATATATATATATATATATATATATATATATATATATATAATTGCAGGTTTACGATATACGATACGTTTACAACGGTAACAATGGCTGTAACTCTTTATGTGTTTTTTTAAAACCACCGCAAATGACGATAAAGCATCACTGTGTACGACCAGAGCGTGCGGCACTATTAAATTAAACTCAGCTATGAGTGTCAGCAACATTTTCCCCTCAAAATGCAGGAAATAGCGTTTCAGAGGGTCTAGATTTCAACATTTTTCCGGGGGACATGCCCGTGGACCCCCCCCCCCCCAGTAAGGTTGCGCCCAATGTTGTAGACATTTCCTCCTCTTTTTACATCCGGGTATTCAGCCATCTTACAGCTACATTTGTTATACGTTACTTTCGTTTTTATTGTCACGTGTTTCCACATCAAGGTGTATTCCAGTGTACTCTATGCAATGACGGTGAGGGCGAGCCGAATACAGTGAAAATAATCGAATCAAACAAAGTTGTCGTTAGTTACTGGGATGGTTTGAAGGAAATCTGGATATGGAGTATATTGTCAGGTAAATCGTAACATCGTTTATGTTCAAAGTTCCAGCCGGTAACTTTATTCTTGACGATTTAGTGCAATTGGTTGAAGATAACCCATTATCTGGTTTTATTTCACTTCATTAACGCTGTGTAGTAATACAACATTTTGAATTGTAGCGGAGATATTGCTGAAATTTCCCGGTCACCAAAATTACGAAGTTGATAAACTTATAATATCCGAAGATGAGCGTCGGCTCTTGTCCTATACACCCAGATCAGAGGAACGGGAGTTTATATTATGGGATATACAAACTGGAAATAAGATAGCTGGATTCACACAAGAAGATGTGAGTGCCGTTCTACTTCATAATGCATAGATTGATTACACAACCATAATGCATAGATTGATTACACCACAATAATGACAATTAAAGCGGGAAAGTCGTCGCCTGCGCATGCGTCAGAGGGCCATAGCGTGTCTTTGTTTGCAAGCGTCTACCCTAAGCATTTTAGCGTGTGTTGCTATCGTCGTTTTGGACTCAATTTCTGCGCGTGCGCAGGTGACGACCCCTCCGCTTTATATAGTTTTTTCTCATTGAAATTGTTTACATTTATTTATATATTGTAGTTTATATATTGTCCGAATTGTTTACAATATGTAATATGTAATGTTCAATTTTCAGCATCCTCCAACATTGGTGGTAGTTTCGGCTTTCTATTTGATTACTCTTTGAATTTCAATTACCAGTGCTTTTGAATATATATCTTCTGTGTGCTTAGAATGCTGAAATGGTATTAGTCTACGGTGGCGACATGGTGGCGGTTGGATGCAACAGTATTGGCGCCATTGTAACGTTTAATCTTCAAGGTCCTAATGTTGATAAACTTGACACTGGTGGACACAGTTTCTATAAAGATGTCGGTATGTGACGTAATGTATTATAGAGCCAAATTCTTTACATTTTACCCAACCAAGTTTAATTTAGGCTATTATGAAATATATAGGTGGAAAACGACTTTTCTGGGAATATAATTACTATGTATTTTACTTCCAGATAACCTCTACTACGTTCTTAATTATAGATTTTCTGTTTTTGTATGCAAAACGATATTTTTATTTTTTTTTCTTCTAAATACCCATACATTTCACAATTTCCATTAGCATATTTTCGGATTATCACAAACCAAACAAGTTTGTGTAATTAATAGTGTATAATTTGTCTAATCACCAGACAATGTAATAATGGTCGATTTAACAGAGGCTAGTGATAACAACATAGATGTAGATGATGTCGACAGTGACGAAGAGTCTGAGCATGATGACGACGAAGACACTGATAACTTCGATGACCGTGAGGTGAGGTTTACTCTGTACCATCAAACTGAAACCTATCGTACACTATTAAATCAAAACACCACGTAACGTTAAATGTATATTTCGGTGCAAATATCGCGAATTCGAATTTGGTGAATCACAATATATGTGTTTTCGTTTACCTGTAAAATTATTATCAATGTTCGTAATGTAAACAGATTTAAAGTCGCTATATTAAAATCGATGTTTCATTTCATTTTCAGATGAGTGACGATGAAGATGACCTGAATGCAGGTTATATTCGTAACGATCTTGACACTGATGATGAGAAATGACATCATTATTCGAGCTAATAAACAACCACGGCGATTACAGCTGTATTAGGTAAAACTATTTGAAGGGGGGTGTATTTTATTCAGGTCGACCTATACACTAATGACATTACTATCCACACAGAAATAGAAAATTATGATTTGTAATATATTCACGGTAGAGAGATGCTATGGCGAACGATTTAATTCATACATAAATTTGCATATAACGAAAATAAAATTCTATACGACATATGAGCTTCGTTTGACGCCTTTCATGATCAGTGATGTTTGCGAAAAATTCTGTTTACAGTTTTATTTCCCTTTTATAACAGAATTTGCAATTCCCACAACCAATTAGATTTAGTGTCGCAGCATTCGGACCAATTGTAAACAAATGCAAAATTGTTTACTTCTACTTTGCACGTTAACCATGTTTGTAATTTATGTACTACAATTTTAGTACATGCATGTACACCCACAAAATAATCAAATATTATTGAACAAATTTATTATATATCTTGAAAAAAATAGGATTTAAATTTCACGACTACCAATTTTGCCTATCTAGGCTGCAGAAATTGTTAGGAGACAGACGATTGTAATGACGTAAATTCTAATAAAAATCGGCACCAGTATATGCTTTGCTTATTGTTGATTGTATCTTCGGGTCCTATCTGCGATTCTCGTGTGTCAAGAGCAACAGAACCATAACTATTTGTCGGCCGTCGCCGTCCGCCAAAACGATATTTTTTTACACACAGAAAATGAGAACTGCAAACGTAGACCGCCTTCTATATTTGGTCATTATAACACAAATAAAGCCTGGTTAGATAAGTTATTTATTAGAGTCACACAAAAAATATTCAGGATGTGAATCACTACGCCGCAATAAAAAAAATCGGTGATAACAGGCAAGATGTGGGGAACTGCATTTTTCAAAAACAGATTTTTGTATATAAATAAACAGAAATATGTGAATAAATATGTATATTATTATTATCATCAATTGTTATGTAAATATACCAATCAAGAAATAATTCAATGGAAAGCATGTTTGATGTTACCTTCGCTAGTTTTTTCGACAGCCGCCTCTCCTCTATACTTTGAAAACCATGCTCATCGAGGACGTTTTAGACTGCGCCCTCTTTAGCAATTTGACATCTCGCCATTTTGTTATTTCCGTTGCCATGGGCTACGCTAACTCTAATTGGGTCTCAGATTGGCTGGTTGTGCGAGATTGGGTGCAGATCTATAGTCAGGTCTTCCTATCCAAGTGACGCCAAATCCATGGACGCACACCCACGAAGTGAGCCCATCAGTGAA